GCTGATCCAAAGTGATCAGTAATTTTTACGGTAATTACAATCCTGCTTTCCCTTGTACCAGCTTACCTTGACTTCAGTAAGGCCTTTGAAAAGGTCCCCCATGATATTATTGCAAAAACTAGTAAAATGTGGGCTAGACAAAGCTACTGTTAGGTGGATTTGTAATTGGTTGATGGGCTGAACCCAAAGAGTGCTCATCAGTGGCTCACCTTCATCCTGGGAAAAAATGACTACTGGGGTTCCACAAGGTTCTGTCCTGGGCCTGGTGCTATTCAATATTTTTATAAATGATTTGGATGATGGAATAGAGGGTGTGCTAATCAAATTTGCAAATGACTGCAAACTGGGAGGGGTTGCTAATACACCAGAGGACAGGGTCAGAATTCAAAATGACCTGAATAGCCTAGAGAGCTGGGCCAAAACCAACAATATGGAGTTCAATAGGGAGAAATGTAAGGTACTGCACCTGGATAGAAAAAATGAAATGCACAGGTGGGGGACACTTGGGTTGACAACAGTACCTGTGAAAGGGATCTGGGAGTCTTAGTCGACCACAAGCTGAATATGAGTCAACAGTGTGATGTGGCAGCTAAGAATGCCAATGCAATTCTGGGCTGCATCAATAGGAGTATAGTGTCTAGATCAAGTGAAGGAATGCTACCACATTATTCTGTTTGGTTGGTCAGACCACACCTGAAATACTGTGTCCAGTTGAAGAAGGATATTGTCAAGCTGGAACATGTCCAGAGGAGGGTGACCAAAATGTAAAAGGTCTGGAATTCAAGCCCTATGAGGAGAGACTTAGGGAGCTGGATTTGTTTAATCTAGAGAAGAGAAGATTAAGGAGTGACATGATAGCCATGTTTAAATATTTGAAGGGATGTCATGTTGAAGAGGGAGCAAGCTTGTTTTCTGCTGTTCTAGAGACTAGGATGCAGAATAATGGATTCAAACTATGGGAAAAGAGATTCCACCTGGGCGTGGTAATCCAGTCAGGGAAAAAGGGAGGCATACTATGTTTAGGGCACCGTTTCCAGCCCCTTCCCCTTTTTGGGGTGAGCATAGTGGATCCTAAAAAGGGCTGCTCAGTCATGGATACAGCTGCTGAGCTGCTCAACTGCCTCATTCCTTGAGTCAGAACGACTGACCGCCCATGTGTCGGTTCATGACTAGGGGCTTCACATTCCTGCCACAGTAGCCATTTAGTGATGGCCATGGGGGGAGGGTTTGGGGAGGTTGGGTTGGGTTTTTGGAAGACGCCTGTGCGTGAATTTGTTTTATGTGTGTAGATTAGTGCACGCTGACCAACGCACAGTCTTCGCAGTAGGGCTCTGTTCTGATGGCATGAGTAGTCACGACAAACTGGTGGATCCTATCTGCTGCAGCCTTCAGCCGCCTTCAGAGCTGTTGTAACACACTGCTTGTTATCACCCGCCTGTTCTGCCGTTGAGGACTTCTTGGATCATTCTTTGTCTAACTCCTTCCCTGTTATGAACAATAGGCAAGTAGGATCCTAGAATGCAAGAACTGATTGGCTTGCAGGAAAAGACCAATCAGGCTCCAGGAGGGAAGCAGAATCAGCTAGTCAGACGGGACTCATTGTGTAAATAATGTATATAAAAGCCTGAGGTTTGGGGGGGAATTCAATCACTGTTTTACAAGCTGCAATAAAGAGCATGAAATCACTACAGGACTCTGAGCATATTTAATTTTCTTTGACCTTACCACCTTGGGTGACCCTGCTGGGAGTACGAGATTCCCAACGGCTTCGCTCACAAGGGTCATAGGAATGTGCAAGCCCACTCACCATGACAAGTGAGAGAACTGAGATAGATTGCACTGAGCCCTGGTTCTCATTAGACAAAGTGTTCCACCAAAAAGGCTCTGGCTCTGGTTGAGGACAGCTGGATATGTTTTGGGCCAGGGACCACCAGTAGGTTGCTGTTAGATGAGTGTCACACTCATGGGGGGTGTATTGGAAGACAATTCCCACAGATAAGAAAGGTCACAGACTGTTTAGGGCTTTAAAGATTAGCACCAAAACATTGAACCTGATTCGATACTCCACCTGGAGCCAATCCAGCTGATGAACAACCAACTGAATGTGGGCTCTCCACAAAGTCCAAGTAAGAACTCATGCATCTGCATTTTAGACCATTTGGAGTTTCTGGAGCAGTCTCAAGGGTAGCCCTGCATATCTATCTCTCTCACTCTCTCTCTCTCTATCACATTTATACCCTGCACTCCCCGGCTCAGGTGTACAGCAAGTTAAAGTAGTATAGTCTGCAGGTGACTACTGCATGGATCACCATGGCTAGGTTGGAAAGGGACAGGTACGGTACCAATCTCCTAACCTGACATAGATTCAAAAATTCCAGTTTGGCTACATTTGTGACCAATGCCTCTATAGAGACAGAAGCATCCAGGATCACACCGGGACTCCTGATAGCGGCTACAGGTGACTATTGCGCCCCATGAAGAGCTGGGAGCTGGCAAACCAAACTGAAATTATTCTGGCCCAGCCATTGGACGCCCATCTTTAATGGATAGAGATTCAGCCAACTCAGTTTCCTCCATCCCAGCACACCCACCTAAAAATTGGCCAATATATCCAGGGTAGCATCTGGCCAGGGCCATGAAGCAGTAGATCCATGATGTTAGTGGTCAGATCTGTGGTTATGTACAAGATATTTGAATAAAGGGTGAATTTGGGGTTCCCCAATGCAAAAAGTGTGATGATCCATGAGGATCCATGCTTCAAAACCAGGTTTTTGTGCCATGGAGTGGCCAGGACTCCGTGGATCCGAGTTTTTTGTGGTGCAGGCTGTGCCCCTGGGAATGATGTGTGATTTGATGGTGAGTTTGGGCTGATCTAGTGCAAAAAGCGTGAGGATCCATGAGGATCCGTGCTTCGGAACCACGTTTTTGGGCCATGGAATGGCCAGGTACCCGTGGATCCGAGTTTTTTGTGGTGCAAGCTGTGCCCCTGGGAATGATGTGTGATTTGACGGTGAGTTTGGGCTGATCTAGTGCAAAAAGCGTGAGGATCCATGAGGATCCGTGCTTCAAAACCACGTTTTTGGGCCTTGGAGTGGCCAGGAAGCCGTGGATCCGAGTTTTTTTTGTGGTGCAGGCTGTGCCCCTGGGAATGATGTGTGATTTGACAGTGAGTTTGGGGTGGCCCAATGCAAAAAGCGTGAGGATCCATGAGGATCCGTGCTTCAAAACCACGTTTTTGGGCCATGGAGTGACCAGGAAGCCGTGGATCCGAGTTTTTTGTGGTGCAGGCTGTGCCCCTGGGAATGATGTGTGATTTGATGGTGAGTTTGGGCTGATCTAGTGCAAAAAACGTGAGGATCCATGAGGATCCGTGCTTCAAAACCACGTTTTTGGGCCATGGAGTGGCCAGGACTCCGTGGATCCGAGTTTTTTGTGGTGCAGGCTGTGCCCCTGGGAATGATGTGTGATTTGATGGTGAGTTTGGGCTGATCTAGTGCAAAAAGCGTGAGGATCCATGAGGATCCGTGCTTCGGAACCACGTTTTTGGGCCATGGAGTGGCCAGGAAGCCGTGGATCCGAGTTTTTTGTGGTGCAGGCTGTGCCTCTGGACATGATGTGTGATTTGACGGTGAGTTTGGGGTGGCCCAATGCAAAAAGCGTGAGGATCCATGAGGATCCGTGCTTCAAAACCACGTTTTTGGGCCATGGGGTGGCCAGGAAGCCGTGGATCCGAGTTTTCTGTGGTGCAGGCTGTGCCCCTGGGAATGATGTGTGATTTGATGGTGAGTTTGGGCTGATCTAGTGCAAAAAGCGTGAGGATCCATGAGGATCCGTGCTTCAAAACCACGTTTTTGGGCCACGGTATGGTCAGGAAGACGTGGATCCGTGATTTTTGTGGTGCAGGCTGTGCCCCTGGACATGATGTGTGATTTGACGGTGAGTTTCGGGTGGCCCAATGCAAAAAGCGTGAGGATCCATGAGGATCTGTGGTTCGGAACCAAGTTTTTGGGCCACGGTTTCGCCAGGAAGTCGTGGATCTGTGATTTTTGTGGTGGATGCTGTGCCCATGGCCATGATGTTTGATCTGATGGTGACTTTGGGCTGATCTAGTGCAAAAATCATGAGGATTCATGAGGATCCGTGCTTCGGAACCACGTTTTTGGGCCAGGGAGTGGCCAGGCAGGTGTGGATCCGAGTTTTTTGTGGTGTAGGCTGTGCCCCTTACTATGATATGTGATTTGACGGTGAGTTTGGGTTGGCCTGATAAAGAAAGCGTGTGGATCCATGAAGATCCGTTCTTGAAAACCACGTTTTTGGGCCACGGTTTCGCCAGGAAGCCGTGGATCCGTGATTTTTGTGGTGGATGCTGTGCCCATGGCCATGATCTTTGATCTGATGGTGACTTTGGGCTGATCTAGTGGAAAAATCATGAGGATCCATGAGGATCCGTGTTTTTTAACCATGTTTTTGCGCCCCTGCGCCCCCCCGAAACAGTGGATGCGTGATTTTTTTGATGCTTTCTACAGAGTAAGACATGGTCTACAATATCATGGTGGTTTTATTTAATTTGAATGAAAAAATCATATGAATTCACGAGGATCCGTGTAGATCCGCCTTTTACCTTTTTCCATCTGTTTGTCCTTGGCTACCCAGAGCTTAAATACATGACCTTTCAGACACGCATTTGGAGAGGATCCCTAAGTTGGCAAACGGACAGAGACAGATAAGATATGGAATATGTAAAACAAAACTATCAATACAGGACGCAGCATTTTGCATTGAAATAGGAGACAATCACAGGTGGCAACGCTACGCGCGGATGGCAAAGCAAGCGCTCCAGTTTATGGGAGGGGGGAAAAGCTCAACCCAAAAAAACAAAGCCCCCCCCTCCATTCAGCTACCGTCACGCCTCCTCCTTGTTGCACTTTTAAAAAACCAGGAGCCGTCATCAAATGCACGGGGGCGAAATGAGCTCTTGGCAATTTGGCACTGGACAAAAATCCCTTCCTGAATTTCTCAGGGCGGTTTTTAATAGAAAGCGGGGGCAGCCCCACTCGACGCTGGCTTGCAGATGAACGTGTGTAGGAGGAGGACGCGGATCGCACTGCGCGGCCGCAGCCCTCCTCCGCCGGAAGCAACGCGCGTTTGGGGGAGCGGAGCAGCGCAGAGCCGGGTGGGATTTGCTTCGGAGCGAGTGCGCAATGGAAACCAGTAGGGAGGTTGCGCCCGGCGGCAGCCCGGTCCTGACACTGTGTACCTGGAAGTCAGGTCCCCCCCCCATTGAGTGCAACGGGGCTTCCTCGTGAGTAAGTACGCCTAAGGTTGGATTTAGCCCTGTAGAACGTAACTGGACCCGACGGTTTCATAAGAAATGTAGTAGGAGTTTGTTGCAAGGCAGTCGTCCAAATGGCTTTTCCTTGGGAGTAGAGTTTATCAAACTGGGGAACTGGGGCAGAAACTTTACTATCGAGTAAAATATACAGAAGAGGAACGGCTTGTTGGCTGGGGCAGTTAAGGTGAGAGTGGGATGTGGTCTTTGCTTAGGGGTTCCCTGAAACTATCTGAAGAAGTGTGCATGCACTAACGCAGTGTTTCCCAACCTTTTTTGGGCAAAGGCACACTTGTTTGATGAAAAAAATCTCGAGGCACACCACCATTACAGCCCCGTGACGTCAGCGCGCAGCGTCACGCCGGGAGGGACGCACGAAAGTGTAACTTTCAGTTTTTTCCCTCCCCCTTGCCGGGGAACCTCCAAGCTTTGGGGGGGGGAGGAGGCAGCAAAGCGAGGGACTGAGGGACTCCTCCAACGACAAGGGTTGGGGAAGAAGAGAAAGGGCTATTCCGCTCCAGTCACGGGAGGGGAATATGTACTGGCCCAACTGGTGTGCGGTCTTCGGAAAGCGGGGTGCGGGAAGGAAGCCTAGGCTCGGGGTCCACCGACCTCGGCGGAGAAAGGCAACAACCGGAGCCGATGACGAGCCGGCGCGTGCGTGCAGCGGCTGGCCTCGAGCTCGGGAAGCTGCGCGCGGCGATGTTGACGCGGGGCGCGCGAGAGCTTGGGGGCGGGGCGGGAGAGAGAGAGAAAGAGTTGGCAGCACCAGGCGCTGTTACTTATTGCGCTGCGGACGCTGCCAGCAACTGCGGTGGTTGTGCGGCGGCCGCCGCCGCAGAACATCCTCGTCAGTCAGCTGAGCTGCCTGGCGGCGTAGGGAGCCGAGGGGCGGGGCTTCCTTTCTGAAGGAGCTGAGGGTGGGGGTCCTCCGGCGCCTTCGGCGAAACGGCGCTGGCCCAGAGCGCTTCTAGGAGGCTGCCTTTGTGCGCGACGTAAAGCCCTCTTTCCCTCCCTCCAGCCCCGTGTCACATGTGGAAAAGGGGGCTGGATCCAGTGACGCAACTCGGAAAACTGTTAGGGAAGCCAGAGCAGGAAAGTGAGTGGGAGGCGGCGGCGCCGCTTTAACCCACGTTTCCTTTTTGAAAGAGAAACCAGTGTTTCCCAACCTTTTTTGGACTCGCTCGCGGCACACCAGGCAACATCTCGCGGCACACTAGTGTGCCGCGGAACACCGGTTGGGAAACACTGCACTAACGAACTTAGGTGGTCTCTAAGGTGCTACTGGAAGGAATTTTTTGATTTCGTTCCTGAAATGAAAGTTATTCCCCTCCCTTATTTTTTTTTATCCGCTTCCCTCCCACTCCTTTTGGGCAGCCGCCAAACAGAAGAGAAAGGTCAGCAGCCACCTTGTAGCCCCGCCTTTCCAATGTCGTGAGTTTCCGCCTTTGCAACGATTTCCCGAATCCTGGCTCGCCTCCAAATGTCTGACCGGTTCCGGTTTTGTAAAGATGCCATTGTCGCGCATGGGGCTAAACGCGTTTCACGTGCCGCCCTTAGAAATGCGACTATCCAGGGCGCTCATTTCAATGATGTGTCTCTTCCGTTTTCAGTCCCTCATTAAAAACCACCCATTCACTTAAGAGAAGGGGGGGAAAGCCCAAATGTCTCATTGAACAGGCGCATGTGTAGCTAGCTACAGTGGTATCTCGGGATGCGAACGGGATCTGTTCCGGAGCCCTGTTCGCATCCTGAACACAACGCAAGACGCGACGGCGCATCTGTGCATGCGTGGGTCGCGTTTTGCCGCTGACGCGCATGCGTGTGACGCCATTTTGAGCGTATGCATGCGCGAGCGGCAAAACCCGGAAGTAACGCTCTCCGTTACTTCCAGGTGGCTGTGGAGCACAACTCGAATGCGCTCAACCCGAAGCACATTCAACCCGAGGTATGACTGTAGTGTCATTTTTCTAAAAAAAGAGGTTCTGGAACTCACCGTAAACTTTTCCTTGTTCTCTTAGAATGGCAATGGCGCCCACTTGAGAGGTGCTGCAGCTGAGCTCCAGTGAGCTCTGACTGAAAAAAGGGTCTCACATATACAATGGTACCTTGGTTATCAAACAGAATGTGTTCCGGGAGTCCGCTCGACTCCTAGAACCGTATGAAAAACAATGCACAGCTTCCGATTGGCTGCAGGAGCGTCTTGCAGCCAATCGGAAGCCGCGCCGGATGTTCGGCTTCCAAAAATCATTCGGAAACTGGAACACTCACTTCCGGGTTTCGACTGTTCGGGAGCCAATTTTTTCGGGAGCCAAGGCATTCAGCTTCCAAGGTATGACTGTGCATGTGTACAGTGGAACCTTGTGTTACGTACCGTCTTCCTTGCGAACGCTACAGGTTGTGAGCTCCGCTAACCCGGAAGTAGATGCTCCCGGTTGTGAACTTTGCCCCGGGATGTGAGCGGAAGTTGCGCGCCTCATGTTACGAGCGGTTTCGGCTTCAGTACGGACCTCCAGAACGAATTAAGTTCATAACCAGAGGTACCACTGTACAAGATTTGTGCTCTGGCAGCACATATACTAAAAATATACTATATATCCACACACATATACAGTGGTACCTCGGGTTACATACGCTTCAGGTTACATATGCTTCAGGTTACAGACTCCGCTAACCCAGAAATATTACCTCAGGTTAAGAACTTTGCTTCAGGATGAGAATAGAAATTGTGCTCCGGTGGTGCGGCGGCAGCGGGAGGCCCCATTAACCAAAGCGGTGCTTCAGGTTAAGAACAGTTTCAGGTTAAGAACAGACCTCTGGAACGAATTAAGTACTTAACCCGAGGTACCACTGTAATGAACTCCTCCAGAAACGGACAATAAGGGAAAACTAAGACAAGCTCTTCAAAGGATATTAAGCAGTTCACCCATAATCCCCCAGCCTCACTCAGCAGGAAGCAATAAAACAGGCTGAGATTGCAAGTACTGTACAGTGGTGCCCCGCAAGACAAACGCCTCGCAAGACGGAAAACCCGCTAGACGAAAGGGTTTTCCGTTTTGGAGGCGCTTCGCAAAACGAATTTCCCTATGGGCTTCCTTCGCAAGACGAAAGCCCATAGGGAAATCTCCGGGACAGTGGGGAAGCGCAGCGCGTCTTCCCCACTGTCCTCGGACCTCCTGTGAAGGCTGGCGGCGGGGCGGAGAGACCTCTTCCCGCCGCCAGCCTTCGTTTCTCAGCTATCCCGGACGGCTTTTGAAGGCAGGCGGGGGGGGAGCAAAGACTTTCGCCCCCCGCCGGCCTTCAGAAGAGGTCCAGGACCTCTTCTGAAGGCCGACGGGGGGCAAAAGTCTTTGCTCCCCCCTTCCTGCCTTCCCGGGGGCTTTTAAATCGCCCCGGGACAGCGGAGAAGTCCTCCACTGTCCCGGGGTTTTTTAAAATGCTGGCGGGCGGCAGCGGAGGCTTCGCTGCCGCCCGCCAGCATTTTAAGATCGCCCTGGACAGCGGCGAAGTCTCCGCTGTCCCGGGGTTTTTTAAAATGCTGGGGGTGGGAAGAAAAGCCCTTGTCCCCCCCCCCCAGCCTTCAGAAGAGGTCGGGGGACAGACTGTCCCCGGACCTGGTCTGAAGTCGGTTTCCATAGGAGCGCATTGATTGATTTTCAATGCATTCCTATGGGAAACCGTGCTTCGCAAGACGAAAAACTCGCAAGAAGAAAAAACTTGCGGAACGAATTAATTTCGTCTTGCGAGGCACCACTGTAGGTAGATTTTTCTTAACACTGGAAGAGGCCTTTGCTGAATAGGGCAGACCTTTGAGTAAACATTACAAAAGCGTCTTATCCGATAGGGCGCGTTGTGAGGATCGCCTTTTTTCATCCCACTTTCAGCTAAGTGCCGAAGAGAAGCGGCTCAGCGGTGCTGAAGGATGCCAGCGTAGAAGCAGTCTTAACTCCAGGTAAGTGTGCAGGATTGCAGCCGCATGCAGAGCTTATTGAAACTCGCTTCTTGGGATGGCAATGTACAATTTCGCTCCTGAAAATGCCCCCAGGAGGGGGGCCAGATTGCCTCTTGGGACATGCCTGCCTGGTGCTTATCTGGTTTGTTTTCACAAGTCACATTTTAAGCCGTTCTCTGTGCCTCTCAGATATGAAAAGGGATTTGCAAAGGCTAGTTTCACATGTGGCATTTAGGTCACAGTGCCAAACAAACTAGAAGCAAAACTGGTTTTATTTTTGAGTAAGCAAGCTTTTCTAATGGGAGATTCTGGGCACTTCACCCAGGGTCCATGTTTACTTTTGGAATGTGGCACAGCGGAGACTCTGGTGTCTTTAGGTCCGTATAGTTAAAGCCATGGTTTTCCCAGTAGTGATGTATGGAAGTGAGAGCTGGACCATAAAGAAGGCTGATCGCCGAAGAATTGATGCTTTTGAATTGTGGTGCTGGAGGAGACTCTTGAGAGTCCCATGGACTGCAAGAAGATCAAACGCATCCATTCTGAAGGAAATCAGACCTGAGTGCTCACTGGAAGGACAGATTGTGAAGTTGAGGCTCCAATACTTTGGCCACCTCATGAGAAGAGAAGACTCCCTGGAAAAGACCCTGATGCTTGGAAAGATGGGAGGGCACAAGGAGAAGGGGACGACAGAGGATGAGATGGTTGGATAGTGTTCTCGAAGCTACAAACATGAGCCTGACCAAACTGCGGGAGGCGGTGGAAGACAGGAGTGCCTGGTGTGCTCTGGTCCATGGGGTCACGAAGAGTCGGACACGACTAAACGACTAAACAACAACAACAACAACACAACCTGAGTCTACGATGGAGGGGTTCACAGCATCAACACCCTGAAAGGGTCTTGTTTCTCCTATAGCTGCAGCCTTGGATTTAAACAGAAATCAAGCATGGCTCTGCCTCTCTATCTTCTTCCGGCTTGCGGCTTTACATCTGGCCCACATCACTGCCAACTCCCAACCTAGGCTTTGTCCTTCTAACTCTGACGTCTAGCACAGAGCCCCCTCTCCTTTGTTCTCTTAATGGCCCATCACCCAGGCGATCGCCTTGACACAGGAAGCTGAAAAGGTAAAGGTAAAGGGACCCCTGACCATTAGGTCCAGTCGTGGCCGACTCTGGGGTTGCGGCGCTCATCTCGCTTTATTGGCCGAGGAAGCCGGGCACATCTTCCAGGTCATGTGGCCAGCATGACTAAGCCGCTTCTGGTGAACCAGAGCAGCGCACGGAAATGCCGTTTACCTTCCCACCAGAGCAGTACCTATTTATCTACTTGCACTTTGATGTGTTTTCGAACTGCTAGGTTGGCAGGAGCAGGGACTGAGCAACGGGAGCTCACCCCGTCGCGGGGATTTGAACCGCCGACCTTCTGATTGGCAAGCCCTAGGCTCTGTGGTTTAACCCACAGTGCCACCCGCGTCCCGTGAAGCTAGCCTGGCTTATATTTTAACACTTGCTGGTTCCAGGGTTTAGACGGATTTTGCGTGCAGCCTACTCCCCCCCCCCCGCAACTCATAACAATATAATCAGCAGTGGCCCAGTGCCCCTTGGGACTGGTAGGGCGGAAGGCGGGGAGGCTAACAGTAGATGGCGCCAGAGGTAATGGCAGGCAGAGCCAAATCATGCTAGTTTTGCCCCCCACCCTCCTCCCTGCTGAGCTCTGTACCCCATTGTCCGAAATCCGTGTGACATGGGAGCTGGTTGCAGGTTTTTGCAGTGGCACCACACTCCCCAAAGCGCATCATGTGGTTCAGATCTGTGGCTTCTGTCAGAGATGCAGCCCACAAGGCCCTTCCCACCCTTCGCTTTGTAATTTAGCTTCTGCGAGAGGTCCGCTCTTTGTTGGCTGTTCTCGCACATGGTGTTAGAAACACCTCCTGGCACACAAAAAAAGCACGTGTGCTGGATTGTGAACATCAGTAACATCAGTAATGCGAGGCAGACCGGCACGCATGGTTTGCCTTCTCATTTCACACCAGATTTAAGTATCGCATAGGAAAATGTTGTTGTGCAGCCACCTGCGTATTGAGGGCAGAGTGGGTTGTGTTGTTTATTGTGAGTGATGTCATGGGCACTAGCCAAAAGGTGCTGTTGGTGTGTGCAACCTCATTTCAGGCCGTAAACTGTATCACAATGACCTATTAAACACTGGGTGATTAATTAATTGATAAAAAATGTGTAGATGGGAAGTTGTACAGTCATGGGGGAGAACTGCGGTTGCTGTGTATCAGGTGCAATATGCAAAGTCTTTCAGTGCAATCCAGATTACAGCACAAAATGTTAAATGGGGACGGGAAACTGTAACCCAGAACTTTGTTCCTATTTTGTCTTTTGGAGAAATTGTTGAGGATGTTGAAAGGTTGCTGCTGTAAATTACTAGAACTGCCATTCTTCAGATTTGAGGCTCTTCCTTTGGCTCTGGAAGTTAAAATTTCTTGGATGTTGCATCTAGCACGCATGCAACAACTTGCTTTTGAGGCAAAAATAAATAAATCAGAAATTTCGTTGGTTCAGGATATAGGCTGCTAACTGGGACCTGCTGTACAGAGCCTATTTTGCCAGTATTTAAAATCCTTTCCTAATTAAAAGTGCTGCTATTAAGCTAAGCTCAATTTGGGTCCAGAAGGGACACGGGTGGCGCTGTGGGTTAAACCACAGAGCCTAGGACTTGCTGATCAGAAGGTCGGCAGTTCGAATCCCCACGACGGGGTGAGGTCCCGTTGCTCGGTCCCTGCTCCTGCCAACCTAGCAGTTCGAAAGCACATCAAGTGCAAGTAGATAAATAGGTACCGCTCCGGCGGGAAGGTAAACGGCATTTCCGTGCACTGCTCTGGTTCTCCAGAAGCGGCTTAGTCATGCTGGCCACATGACCCGGAAGCTGTACGCTGGCTCCCTCGGCCAGTAAAGCGAGATGAGCGCCGCAACCCCAGGGTCGGTCACGACTGGACCTAATGGTCAGGGGTCCCTTTACCTTTATCTGGGTCCAGGGGTTATGAGGTCTCACCTTTCCCTGCACGGACTAGACCAGCGTTTCCCAAACTAGGGTCTCCAGCTGTTTTTGTACTACGATTCTCATCCCTGACCACCTGTCCTGCTAGTGAAGGATGATGGGAGTTGTAGTCCAAAAAGAGCTGAAGACCCAAGTTTGGGAAACCCTGGACTAGACCAGTGTTTCCCAACCTTTTTTGGGCAAAGGCACACTTGTTTCATGAAAAAAATCTCGAGGCACACCACCATTAGAAAATGTTTAAAAAATTAACTCTGTGCCTATATTGACTATATATAAAGTAACTCTCTTTAATAGGAATCAAATAAACACAAAGATAGTGTTTTATAATTACTTTATTATGAAATAGTAAGTAAACAGAAATATGAAAAATTATAAAATACTTTATTCAGTGCGCAACCTGGGCCTGTTTACCATGCGCACAACATCATCCAACACATGAACTAGGTCTGCTGGTAAAGTCTTGGCTACGAGGGCCTCACGGTGCAAAAAACAATGCGTAACAATCACATCTGGATTTCTTTCCTTCACTCTGCTTACAAAGCCTTTGAAACCTCCCTAGATATCATCGTCATTTGCATGCTGTTTCCATAGTTAAAAACCATGCTCGAGGCGGCTTACGACATGGCAATATTTACATAATTACCCAAATGCACTCATAAGAAACCGTATCAAAGCGCCCACAACGAAATTAAGCAATCCCCACACAAGTTATAACGAGATCTATAAAGAGTAGTTTAGTATCACGAACAGCAAGATGGACATAAACAAAATAAAATCTTGACTCTAACAACCCCACCCGGCCTAAATCTCCTGCGCGCACCGATGCCCACGCAGGCATTTCCAGCAGCTCTTCCTCCTCCGCCTCTTTTTGCGTTGCCAGCAAAGAAGGAATGAGGAAGAAAAGGCGCAGCGGCGAAGAAGCGCGCCTTCTCAGAATGCCGCTGCTGCCCGAGGACTACATTTCCCAGAATGCCGCGGCCGCCCAGCCGAGATGCGCCCTGATTGGACGGCGTTGCTAAGCCGCTCGCGCCAGGGCTGAGCGTTCGGCAGAGGCGCGCGCCATAAGACGGGCGTCGCGCGCGGAGCCTGGCTCGGGTCGCCAATGCTGCGGGCGGACATGGCGAGCTGGGCGGGACTCGGGCACGCGCTGGGCGCCTGCTGCCTCCTGGGCCTCTTCTGCGGCGCTGCGCTGCCCTTCTCGCTGCAGGGCGCGAACGAGAAAGCGCCCGCCTCCCTCCCACGGCACACCAGGCAACGTCTCGCGGCACACTAGTGTGCCGCGGAACACCGGTTGGGAAACACTGGACTAGACTATCTGCTGAGACCATTCTCTGACAACCTTTTCTACGTGCCCTACCTTAAGCTGTGGCTATCCAGGACGGGACCTTTCGTGTGGTGGCACCCTGAGCGTTTTGACAACCTTCCCGTGCATATCTGCCTGGCTTGCATCAACAATGTTCTCTTCCAGGCACCGTTCTGTTCTCTTGAACCTTTTAGAGCAAATAATATGTTCCCATCTTTCCCATTTTCAATTCCTTCTATTCGTATCTCTTTACAGATTTGGGTGGTTTTTTGTTTCCATTAAAATATTTTATCTTCGCATTGTTTTATTAGCTGCGTGTACATCATGTTGAAGATCTATGGATGGATCTATAACCTTTTGTTAAATACAGTGGTACCTCGGGTTAAGAACTTAATTCGTTCCGGAGGTCCGTTCTTAACCTGAAACTGTTCTTAACCTGAAGCACCACTTTAGCTAATGGGGCCTCCCGCTGCTGCCACGCCACTGGAGCACGATTTCTGTTCTCATCCTGAAGCAAAGTTCTTAACCTGAGATAATATTTCTGGGTTGGTAGAGTCTGTAAGCTGAAGCGTATGTAACCTGAGGTACCACTGTAGTTATAGAGAAGGCAGCCTGTGGCACCCCTGGGAATTCCCG